AGCCGCTTTCAGATCTAGGAAGACAGAGATGATGGGTCTACGAAAAGAATGCCGGTGCTCGACCGCATGCAATTCCAGCCAACCGGACGGACAACGGAGATCGCCTACTTCCACTCTGCACGGACCACGGATTGTTCCTGTCAAACACGAACATCTCGCACAAGAAACGCCATCGACTTACATGGAAACCGCCAATCTCTTCACTGCACTGAACCCAAATTGACCACATCGCCATCAGTTGCCGCTGGAGGCAATCAATTCAAGACTGCCGCTCTTACTGGTCAACAGCTGTGGATACAGACGAAGCCTTGTTACAAGCCAAGTTCTCCTTACGCCTGGCAAACAACCGCAAAAATGCCACCGACAACGGATATCCGCGATACAGCGTCAGTAATTCATGCAAATCGGCNNNNGGAGAAAGCTGCGCCTATTGGTAACAGTCGTAACCTTTTCCATCTAATTAGGAATACGGGTCCTAGGAAAATAGGCGTCAGTGAGGTAATTAAGGAATCCGATGGCACACTGATTCACGATCAGCAACGCCGTATTGACCGTTGGGCTGAACATTTCAAGGCTCAGTTCAACTGGCCCCCATCGACAGCTTATCTTTCACTCTCCGCCTCGACTAAAGAAATACTCCCAGTTGATGCTAGTCCTCCATCTGAAATGGAGGTATCTCGGGAAAGAAGGTTTCTCAAAAGGCATAAGGCCTCTTCCTCAGATTGGCTGTCCCCATCAGCGTTAGTTTTGGAGTTGACAATACTCCTGGGTTCAATATGGGAAAAAGAAGAGGTGAATCCGTGATTAAGCCGATTTACAAGAAAGGTGATAGATCCTACTGTGAAAACCATAGAGGAATTAGTTTCATCAATATCGTCCCTAAACTCCTCGCTGGTATCATACTCCGCCGATTGTCTGCCGCACGTGAACGGTGCATGCGTGAGAACCAGGCTAGTTTTAGACACGGTCGAGGTTGTATCGATTACATCCTCACTCTGCGCCAAATTCTGGAGCACCGGCATTCTTTTCGTAGACCCATCATCTCTGTCTTCCTAGATCTGAAAGCGGCTTTCGACTCAATCGATCGCCCTAAACTCTGGCGCTGCCTTTTTCTGAAAGGTGCCCGAGAAGTTAATTTCAATATTACGATCGCTTTATACTAATAGCCGAAGTCGAGTCCGGGCTGACGGCACCTTTTCTTTTTCTCCCGAGTTCACCACGGCAAGTGGTGTTCGTCAGGGTTACCCTCTCTCTCCTTTTCTATTTAACTTTGCTATAGATCTGATTATGGAAACAGCCCTATCCTCGTGCGAGGATAGTGGCATCGATTTACTCCCAGGTGACAGGCTATCTGATCTAGAGTAAGCAGATGACATTGTGCTACTAAGTGAAGATCCAGGCAAGTTGCAAGCATTTCTGGATAACTTGAATGCCAGTGTAGCCATATTCGGTATGCGTTTTGCACCTTCAAAGTGTAAAATGTTGCTACAAGACTGGGTTGGTCCAACACCCAGCCTCACTCTAACTGGGGGAAGAATAGAGCAGGTGGATAAGTTTTGTTATTTAGGCAGCTACATCTCACCCGGTGGACGCATCACGGATGAAGTGTCAGCTTGCATACAGAAGGCTCGGCTGACATTTGCTAACTTGAGATATCTGTGGCGCCATCGCGACCTCCGGCTGTCTGTGAATAGTCCAGTGTATGCCGCGACAGTTCGGCCAGTCCTGCTATACGGCGCAGCAACTTGACCATTAAGAAAACAGCATAAGGATAGACTGTCGGTGTTTGAACACCGTTGTCTACGCAGCATTGCACGAACCTGGTAGGGCAGCCGGATGAGCTATGCTGAGGTTAGATGCAGTTTTGGGTATCCGCAGTCACCCACCGGAGCAAGTGTTCGACCTCCATAGATTACGTTAGTTGGGACATGTGTTACGCATGTCATCACGGCGAGCGATGTTCGCCGAAGCAGAAACCGAGTGGAATAAAGCCAAGGGTGGTCAAGCTAAGACCTGGCACGGGGGTATGAAAACCTTGACCAGAGGACTGGGTCACATAGGTCCCGTTAGGCTCGCTGACTGGGGACCTCGGGATGATCGTAACCGATGATTAGAGACACTGAGCGATATGGCTGGGTGTCGCAACCAGTGGCGTTCATGCATCTTCTCAATTTCTTTCCAACCTTAGTCCACTGAACCTCTCCATTTTCTTTTCGACTCCACTTTCAAGTTTCCTTTCTTCATCCAAATTGGCAGCCAAAAGACAGCAACCAAAACCGGCGCACGAAAGTGCATGGTTAATGGTTGTTCAAACTGAGCTGAACTCAGTCGTTTACCGACCAGAAGTGGTATTCACAAAAAATCTATTATCGGGACTGTTCGAGGCGGAAATATGTTCTCTGGGGCCATAAAAAGATGGCGGTTGTTAGCTCCTTGCTCTGCGTATAGTATTTTTTCGTTTCGGCGCCAGACGTCTCATTAACTCCATTCAACTCATCTCATTGTACAAAGCCCAGACTCGATCTACACTTCAATACTACAGTCA